CATGTTGAATCTTCAACGTTGTTTCAACGTTGAATATCGACGAGCATTCAACGTTGAAAATATGTTGCAGCTTCAACGTTGTTTCAACGTTGAAAAAAGGTTGATGAATCAACGTTGAAAATATGTTGCCTCCTCAACGTTGTTTCAACGTTGAAATATCGACGAACATTCAACGTTGAAAATATGTTGCAGCTTCAACGTTGTTTCAACGTTGAAAAAAGGTTGAGGATTCAACGTTGAAACATCAACGTTGAAACAACGTTGAAATATAGTTGATCAACGTTGCAACCTATATTCCACCTCCTTTCAACGTTGAAACAACGTTGCGTGCCTGCTGGGTCAGTTCTACTATTTATTTATCTATTTATTTATTTTATAGTCATACACAATATCTAAGAATTCATTCTTTTAGTACAGATGTTTAAATTTTTAATGAGCGCATAACAGATGTTTAAACATTTGATAAACCTATAATGTATAAATGGGTTTAAAATTGGCAATTATGTTATTGATTTTTTTTAGATGAGGACCTTTTTATCATCAGCTATTAGTACAGCAACAGTTTTATCATGCATCATTTTCAGCACTGAATTATTAATCATAGTTTACATTTTATACTTATATCATTTTACAAATGCTGAACATTACAGACTATTTCGGGTTATGTTTGTTTTAACTATATATCGGTGTCATGTCATGTTTTGTATAAATACAATGGCTTCATACGAAAACAAGAGATGTAGGTATACTGTTAAAATACTATAAAATTAGAGTTTCTTTTGAAAATAGTCTCCGGGTGACAAGTTTCGATCGATGTTACGAAGCTTATGATATTCCCCCTGACAATGACATGATCGACATTTTCGACACAGATGTGTCCAGCTGGCGTTATTCAACATATTGACATGTCATATATACAAATACAACATGTATGACCGTGTTATATATTGAATACTGGATCTTTGCAGAACATCACTCGATAACAGGTTAGGAATTTTCAATTTAACAGTTTCACAAAGTGCAGCTTTGTACATTGCACTCTTATATAATGAGTACTTTTTCAAATGATTATTTTTTTTTGTCGATAACGAAGTACGAAAAAGGATGATCGATTCCGTAGATTTGTCGTGGACGGATCGACGCTCTTTTCTTCTGATGGGAACTTGGCCACCAGATTATCTTCTGCTAATCACAGCAGGCATCAGAGAGCATCTGCCCAGATTAGACGGCGTCTGAACTCTCTCAGTGACCAGCTGTAGAGGGGTGTATAACAGTGTTTCCTCTACAAACAGTCTCAGCAATAAACCCTGCTACTGAATGTGCAAAATTGCACCGACTATAAAGCATTAGTGGGTGTTTATGAATTCATGTACGGTGTCTATATGCGATAAGACAAACCCCTACCGAGCCCCCTAAACAAATGCTTTCTCCCCGTCGTTGTCGAGAAAAATATGATACGCTTGTTGATATAATAGAACGCAGCAATTTACTACTTTCTGTGCCAACTCTCACTCTCATTCGGAGCTTTAGATGCACCTCCGAGTTACGGCTTCAATAACATCTATTGGTGATCAATTTGATTTCAGTGAAACATATTTTGTAGATGTGTTTTTAGATATCTACAGAAATGGGGGTAGAGAGTGTGGAGGAAAAACTGGAAGAACAGGAGCCTATGGCACCAACAGCTTCCATGGAAACGGTGTCCGTCGTCCGAAAAATCAAGGTAGGTTCTGGAACCTGTATATTTTAATCAAAATATGACAATGTACGTTTTTAAGACAGCTGGTGCGCTATAGATCTGTTGTGAACAATTATGATTAACTAACAAAATTAGTAGTATTCTAAGATTCCCTGATAGAAACTCAACACGTGTTTCAAAATCTAAGTTATCACTAACCTCCCAAGACGAGGGTCAATAGTTTATGATGAACCGATGGGAAATTTTATTAATCGGTCAATCGATGAAAATGCATGGACAGTTCTTTTAATCCCTCTAAAGTACGTTTTTCATTTAACTTTTCATTCTATAACAAGCTGATTATTGATAGCACCAAATGATGTAAAGCTTTCGACACACAACTGATATCTCTGTAACCCCGTCATTAACACTTGGATAGATTTCAGAATATGTCGACAGATATACTCCGTATTTTTTGCCGTAGATACATGCTTTTATGTAAATATAAACAGAAAATGCTCTCTACAACGTACATGTGTGATGCACATTTCCCCCATTTTTTCTCCTATAATCTATTAGATTATGAAGATTAAATTATGACCAATGCTCACTACCGGGTGTTCTGTTAGTTATTCGTATGTGTAGTGGACATATAAACGTTGTCAAATATACTTAAGACTGTCTTATATACTTTCGAAACTGTACAGTTGAAATGGTTAATTAATTTTCTAGAATAAAAATATAAAAGTCTTTTCTGGAGACAAATTATAGAATGACAAACACGTACGCACATTTATCCCAAAATGTCGATCATTTTTAATTTATAGACATTTTAAAAACCCATTTACAATCGTGTCCCCTCATTTTCAGGTGGTTTCCACTTTACTGTTGGTGGGGGCTTTACTGTTTAACATTTTGTCCATCGCCACCACTTCGTGGATGAAGTCAAATGGCCGCCAGGAGGGGCTGTGGGCGAACTGTGTCTCCCCGACCGGGGATATTTACAAGTACGAGTGTACCGGAAATGAATCCAGGGGTCAGTATGAAATCCTTTGAATTTAAGGTCATTTATTGAATTTTCATGAAACAAAAACTATATATGACCCCCTTCTCTCTCTTTCTCTCTCTCTCTGTGTGTGTATGTGAGGGAGGGGTGCTGGTGGTGTGGTATTCATATATTTTAGTTATATTTTAATATGTTAAATATCATTAAAAAGGATAGGGTAAGACCCCTTTTTGGCCCCTGATTTGGGGTGTCTTTTAGAATGTTGCTACAGAATATAAGACCATTCCAAGTTTTTTCTACGTTTAGCATCCACGTGCGCCTTGGTTTTTGACACCCAATATCAGAAAAATTGAAAACCACTTATTACCCCTGCCACAAAATGAGTATTGGTTCTAAGTTATGGGATACACAGAGACCACAGCAAGGCCTGAAAATATGTCAATTTTTGTATTTTCTCATTTTTATGCAAATTTTAATCAATTTTACAGGCAATCTAATTAAAATTAGATGTTATATCCGCTCGTATACTCCCTACACTAAGTGTAGCGAGTATACAAGCGGATCTAACATTTAATTTTAATTAGATTGTTTTACAGGGTATTTTCTTTCAGAAAACATAGAGCCTATCTACCAAATTTATATATTTCATACATTATAGTATCAGATGCATCTTTTCTGTAAAAATCTCAGATAGGCAACATTGTGCTCTATGTTTTCCAAAGTGAAAAGTATCTCAAATATGACGAAATTCCAACAGAATTGAGAAAATTTGAGAAAACGTCCTATTTCTGCACTCTTTTGTGACCTCCATGTAAGCTTTGAATCAAAATTAGTGCTAGATTAATTAAAACAAGCATCAATTTACTACAAACTATCACCGTTTTATCTGTGTTCTGATTTTTACATCAGATTCCTTGGTTACCATACTTTGTCCTAAGTTAAAGTTTTTTTTGCACTTACTTTTGTATACAATCAAATATCACAGGTATATATACAAAGTATACTTATTTACAGTAATCAATACATGGACTGTAATAGCAGTTTAGTTTACTGAACATGAAAATCGAAGGTTCGCTATAATTTTTTTTTCTGAGAAACATAGTCACGTTTAAGTATTATTTACAGATGTTTTAGACATAAAGTTAATGGCGTCTATACTCGAAGTACATGTACTTAGGATTTTGAATAAAAGTTACAGACAAATCCTATTATAAATCTTGATCATAAATCTTCCCACGGTCAGATTGTGTCCTTGACTTGTCCCAATACCATAAATCTTTAAGTCAGAGGGAAAGAGAAGGGAATTAAATAAAATATAGATGATGGAAAACGGAGTATGATAAAACAGAATTTTGTTTGTTTAATGTTCTTAGCTGAAGAATCTTGTTCCGAGCATGAGTAAAACATATGCCATATTACATGTACGGTTCATTTAGAAGGTATGTTAAGTTTTTAAAAATTAGGAAATAAAATTGATTGATTAATTATAATAAAACCTCAGCAGCTGAGAGGGACGAAAAGTGTGCAAGTCCACGCTGCTTCATTTTGCTTGCTTATACTTTATTGTCAGTGACGGCCATACAATTTGCAAATTCTTCTTGGTGCTTAGAAGGAGGGGTACTTTTCAAAAAGAAAACTCCAAAAAGGCATGCGTATTATAATAAAAACAAACAGTGAAAGTCTAACCGTTAAAAAATTACCGAGTTTTTGGCACTCTGTATAATGTGTCGAAATATAGATGCATTCTGGAGAATATCTTTGGAATTCTGGCGATGACAAACACATGTGTCGCTGTCTGACAAAAAGACTCCTTCTTCATAATAATCAAAAACATCACCTTCATTGCCTAATTGCCGAATACTCAACATTTCCTAATGACCTATATTTACTTTCATTATTCTCGCCATCTTTAAATTATCATTATCAGCGATATCAAAAGATTGCAGGAATAAGAAAATCTGTATTATCAGTTATAGATTGGGTTTCCTTTGATTAGTGCTTTTTCAGCAAACATTATGTCTCGCGTTGTTGTGTGGGATCTTTGGCCGTACGGCGTATCATTCTGTTTTCTCTACAGACATTTAGACAAACATCAGCAGGTCGGCAGGTTAAACTACAACAATGTTATCCTCAGTACTTACTGTTTTTATACGAACCCCTATAAGTTACCAATATGACTGGTGACTCTTTGTAAGGGAACACACATCAGCAGCTGGCTTACGGATACTCATTAAGTCGCAGCTTACCTCTATATTCGGAGTCTTTATTCAGAACTATCGAGATATATATATATATATATATCACAGTATGTATGGAAGATATAAAAACTGCTTACTGCCAGCTGCTGACTGCTTACTGCCAAAAAACTGCCACATATATTTGAATAAATTTTATTTTTATATTGATATTTAAAAAAAAACTGGTAAAAAAAAAAAAACAAAAAAAATACCTTCATGTGTATGACAAACAACTTAACACGAATATGCAAAAGAATTTTTGTTTAAAATATGTACATCTTAAACATTGCAAATTTATGGATGTAATCAGAGAGCAGTTTTCAAAGGTCTTTTGATGAATTATGAACTGTATTAAAACATAAAATTGAATATATTTTTTAATGACAAACAAAAATGAGTAATGCTTCAGCTACATTGATTAATTACCAAGCAGATATGAGTTACCTTTTTTTTTTTAGAAATAGTTTTTATATCTAGTATGGTTGGGATCAATAAATTCATTAACTCTTAATTCCCCCCAATCTTTGGTTAGAAATCTGTGAAATCTTATTTAATATAATTCTTCGAACTTGTGTATGTAAATGGTATATAGGAATGAAAACTGTCTGCTTGATTAATTACCAAGCAGATATGTTACCTTTTTTTTTTAGAAATAGTTTTTTTATATATAGTATGGTTGGGATCAATAAATTCATTAACTCTTAATTTCCCCCAATCGTGCTTTATCCGAAAATAAGGTTTCTTATCAGTTGGATCCTTTTAATTTTACAAGGCCTAAGACTGTTTTCATTAAGATGAAAATGTGTAGACAAAACCATTTAAGATGGATGTTACATCTTCCGTATAAAATTTTCACCTATGTTCCACATCTTTATTTTAGGTTGGTTAGATGCCTGTCGGATTCTGGTCTGTATCGCCTTCGTGATGACCTTCATCGGTCTCGCCATGACTACATATGGAATACAGAGTATTAACTTTGGAATGAAGTATAAATACTATAACATCGCCATAGTTCTGCTATTTTTAGCTGGTAAGAATGCAATACTGCTTATACTTAGAATCAGTAGTAACAGTTTATATATGTTGTATATATTGGTATATAGATTGGATGTAAATACTTCAGCAATCTACGTTTACAATGTTTACGATACCATTGTGTTTTGTGACATCAGCCTAAATGAATAAAAGTTATCTTTACTTATTCTGTCGATTTTATGAACCGCTTTCTTTTTCTTACAGTAATCCCTGAATTAATTGCGGTGATTATTTTTCCTGTAAAATTCAATGAGGAACTGAATGGTGCAGGGTGGGTGGTCGGCTGGTCTTATATAATGGCTGTCTTGTCGGCCGTTTTAGTCCTCATAGCCGCCATACTTCTTTGTGTTGATCGGGGTGCAGACGAGGCGTTGATTCGCGAAAAGACCTGTTACTATAACGACGAATCTATAGAAGAAACCTTGGAATGATCTTTCCAGTTGTGA